ATATATATGTATTTGTATTTATTATCATTTATTTGTGTTTAATTCTGCGCAATGACAGATCATGGAGGTGCTCATGGAGAAGGCCGGCGGGCCGGAGAAGGCGCGGGAGCTGATCAACGCGGTGGAGTCGCGGACCGGCAATACGGCGCTCCACTTTGCGGCGGAAAACGGGCACTGCGCGATGGTGGCTTTTCTCCTCAATCAAGGCGCCGGTACCGGCCTTTATTATCTCCTTTTATTTATTTATTTTTATTTATTATCTTTATTTGGTGCTTATGTCGATGTTTGTGTTGTGTGTGCACTTCCTACAGAGAAGAACGCATTGAACGGGTCGAAGCAAACGGCGCTGCACCTGGCCACGCTGGCCGGGTGCGCGCCGGCCGTGCGCATGCTGGTGGAGCACGGCGCTCAGATCCTGTTCACCGCGGCCGAGGCCAAGTCCAAGAAGGTGAGCCACTTCGCTGTCGTCAATCTCGCTCACCACACACGCCCGCTGACGTGCGTCGTCTTCGGTTGGGTGTTCTGTTCAGCAGGTGCCAGCCTCGCCGCTGCACCTGGCGGCCTCTAACCGCTCTGAGGCCCTCGTGTCCCTGTTTATCGAGCTGGGCCTCGACATCAATCTGACGGACGCCGCCGGCCGCATCCCGCTTCACTTTGCGGCGCGCGCGGTGCCCAAGAATGCGGGATTCATCGAATTCCTTCTCGCGCGCGGAGCCGACGCCAAGGCCGTTGATGAGGAGGGCCAAGGCGTGCTCCACTACGCCATCACCGTACGCCACTTGATCACTTGGATCCATGTGACACGCAGCACGCAGCACACACGCCACACACGACACACGGTGGCACGACACGACGCGGCAGGCTCTGAAATTCCTCATGATCTAGAATGAGTGTTCAGCCGAGCTGGTGGCGATGTGCAAGCGTCTGATTGATGCCGGAGCTGATGCCCACTCCAAGGATCCGGTCTTGGTTCGTCCCAACGCCGGCGCCTTTTCCTATGCTGTGCTGTGTGCCAGATTTTGTTTACGCGCTTTCATGTGTACAGGGCCTGGAACGCCTCATCGCCCGTTCGTACTACCAGTCAAGCTACGACCGTGATCTCGTCAACCTGTTTGTCGAGCGTGGCATCGACATAAAAGACCCGCGTACGCGATGACAATCTCTCTCCCCCTCCGCATGCTCGTGTGCCATGATGATGGTCTCACATAACGCCACCTCTCTCTGTAGGAATCGGTACCCCCTTGCTCACGGCAGCAGCCAAAGCGCACCACTACGATCTGGTCTTGGCCCTGCTGGACTGGGGCGTCGACCCCAACGCCAGCGACCCCAGCGTCACCGGCACAACGCCAAACCTGCCGTTGCACATGGCCCTGTGTGGCCATTCCTACCATAACAGCGATGCCGACAGGCGGCGTGTAGTCGAACTTCTTCTCGAGGTACCTTTACATTTTATTATTTTGTATTATTATTATTATTATTACACGGTGCATTTTGGTGCTCGCGAATAACAAATAAATCAATCAATAAATAAATATGGAATACAGAGAGGAGCCGATGTGCATCGCTTGGCGGGCTACAACCAAAGTCAGGCCTTGTTCTATCTGCCCTGCGAGCCCGACGAGACCTTTGATTTCCTGGTGCGTAATCTCCGATGCATCGGAGATTGATTGCCTGACGTCAAGGAGGCTCCATGCCATAACTAAGATAGAGCTATTCTCTAATGCAATCGCAGTTGTCGCGCGGCGCCGATATCAACGCAAGGAACGAGCGGGGCGAGACATTCTTGTATCGGGCCGTCAACCAGAATTGGCCCTACAATGCACCGCATTTCCACCGAATGAGACGGGCCGTCGTTGCCCTCATTGAGAGTACGTTGTTGTTTGTTGTTTGTTATTGTTTGTTGTTATGCTGTGTTATGCTTTGTTAATTATTACTATCGTTATTCTCATCATTATTTTGTTAATGCTAACTGAACCACCGACCACTGGTACATTACCCAGGGGGCGCCGATCCCGGGCAGTGCCGGGTGGACGGCCATGGCCCAGTGAGCGAGGTTGTTGACCCGACCTACACGCCGCTGGGCTGGGAGTGGGTCGCGTTCCTGCGGTCCGTGGGCATTCCCATCCGGACCGCTGCTGATGATGACGAGCCGGCAGCGGCCGCAGCGGGCAGTGGTGACGCGACTGGTGCGGAAGCAGACGATGACGGCGAGGGGAGGGCTGAGCCGCTGGGCCACCACCGCCTTAGGAACGATGGTGACGACACCAACGAGGACGAAGAAGAGGAGGAAGCAGAGGAGGATAGCAGAAGCAAAGGCAAGGAGAAGCTGGACAAATGAATGAAACATGACCACTTCTTCTGGTCTCCTTCTCCTTTGCAGTAGTAGTAGTAGTTGCTGCGGACAGGAAAGAGACCCGTTGAACGGGACGAGAGCGACAGCCCCTTTCCTGCGTCCGGAGAAGGCGGAGAGAGGGGGCTACGTTATTCCCCTATCGTTAGCAAAATTACGTCTTATTTCTTGTATGCGGGCCTTTCTAAGGTCCCACATTTCTTTGGCCGCTGCCGCGATGCACAGCAGAATATCCTGCACTACCGGGTCCACCTTTTTGGAGGGGATCCCCAGGTCCCTTAACGCCTGCGGCAGGACTGTAGGGCAAAAAGCAAGTGCCCCCATCTTAACGTTGTACTCCCTCAGCTTGCGCGTGGCTTCGGACTGCCCCTTGGCTGTCGCGTTGGTTTCAGTTGAGAACCAGAGCGGCAGGTCCTTTATCGACACCATCGGCTTGCACACACTGCTACTGATGATCTGTAGCACTTCCTCGTCCCTCCTAAGCCGGATACCCCGTGTGGCTGCGCAGGTAGTGTACACGTGATCGTGCATCTCCTTCTTGCCCTCTTCCGGCTTGTGCACCACCAGCATGGTGTCCGTGCCGCACGGTGTGCTGCTCGTGCAGAGGGGGCATTCGGAGGTGCTGTGGACGGCCTTCTTGATAAGCCAGTCCCTAGGCCGAGCAGCATCTTCTCCATTATCCCTGGCATACCAGACGTCGGCATTGTTAGCGTCCCTTTCCCAGTAGAAGTGCATTTTTTCGGCGTTGGGTGTCTGCGACTTGAATCTGGCGGAGTGGGCCCATTTTTTAACAAGCTTGTTGCCGTGGCTGCTGGGCACTCCCGACTTACCGAAGTCCGTGAGTGAGTCTCTGAGGTACTCGCCTCTGGACACTCGGCTAGCCTGCCGACGGAACTTGACGTCTGCCTCTGCTTCCAGCGATTGCCACCTCAGCCCCTTTTCCACTAGGGAACCGTCAATGCTGAGCAGCGCCACCGCGTCCAAAGATGTTAACACACACCGGTTGTACGTGGCGGTGTGGCTGGTGCGCGCGAGGGTCGCCAGGGCGTCCGCGGCCTCGTTACCTTTGACTAATGTGCCCCAATCATCCCCGTGCATCTCTGCGAGGGCTGCCAGCTTGGCTTCCCAACTGGCCAGCGCTTCTGGTCCTTCCTCCCTAGCTCTCGCTCTTTTCTCGGGTATGTGACTGGGGACGTATGTGAACGTGACGCCAAGGCCCTTCGTCCTGCGCTCCTGGACCAGCTGGATGATGCGCTTGACGACTCCCCTGCCTTCGGTGCGCATCTGCCTGCCCATGCCCCAGCCCTCGAACCCAGAGAAGGCTGCAATCGCGCTAGTGCAGTCAATCACTATTTCCAGGTTACAGGACCGGGGGCATCTCTCGAGGGCGACCAGAACTCCAACAAGCTCCCCAATGAACGAGGACCCTCCCCTGACGATCATGACACTGTCCTTGAACTGCTCCCCCACATACACTCCCGCTGTGGTGCATCCCTTCACATGACCCCCGTCCGTCCAGACCCTGAGGGTGTTGGTGGCCTCATTTTTGTGGAGGAAGCACCAGTCATCTTCGGTGATGCGGTAGGGGGACAGGGCCTTGAGCATCCCGGCAACCCCTCTGCTGGGGATGGCGACCGCCCTGCTACGCACTTGTTCCAGTTCAATGAGGTCGTCCCGCTTGGGTACCTGCGGCGCAATTTTACAGGCAATCCACTCCATTCGCTCAGCCTCGTTTGCGCCCAAGACTTCCGCCCACTTGAAGACTCCGGCCTTGTACAGGGCTGGCCAGGTTAGGTTGTTGTGCACGCAGCCTACATGTATGTAGTTTGGGTCCGCCAGACGGATCCATGGGTCAATACCTATTTCTTTAAGTCCAAGTCGCCACATGTGCAGAGTGTTGCGGCTGTCCCCTGTCCTAGCCATACTTGCCAGGATGGTGTCTGCCGCTATGGTCCCACCATTGATGGCGCGGGTGGTGGATTCCCTTTGATGCGCTTTCAACAGGCCCTTGAGGCTATGCAAACCCAAGCCGCCCTTGCCAGCGCTGATGAAAAAGGGTTCTAGATCGTACCTGGCTGACAGCCCCATACGTGTGCGGACAAGCTTCGCCACTAGCACGTCCATTTTGTCCAGCCACTCCGTCGGGAATTGGACCACCGACATGCTGTAGGCAACTACTGCAACAACAGCCGCATTGAGGACCGCCACTATTTGGTCCGGCATGATGCGCTTCTGCTTAAGAACAGCGAGCATGGCCTGGACCTTCTGTTCAGTAACCATAATGTGCTTTGCCCAGCTTAAGGACAGGCTGATCCACACGCCAAGATACTTGTAGTGCTCATGAGCTTCTAGCTTAGCAATGGCGATGCCGTTCCACCACAGGTTGTAGTCCCCCCTACCACTGTTGTTGGTGTAGCCCGACTTTGCCTGGTTGATATCCAGGTTATAGTACTCATAGTACTGAGCAAGCATCCCAAATGTGGCGCTGATGTCAGCAAAGTCCCTGCCCAGTAGGGCAATGTCATCGCAGTATGCCAAGAGGGGCAGCAGGAACCCAGATGCAAACATGTACCCCTTGGATCTGTCCTTTTCGATCCACTGGATCATGGGGTTGAGGAAAATGACAAAGAGGAGTGGCGAAAGCCCATCACCCTGGCGAACCCCCCGCTCGTACAGGATGCTGTCGGTAAGAGTGCCATTTATCTTGAGTTTGACCTGGCACCCCTGGTACAGATTTGCAACAAGCCCCACGAATTGTGGGTTGACACTGTAGTCCCGCAGGACCTGCAACAGCGCAGAGTGTGAGACACTGTTGTATGCCTTTTTCATGTCAACATACACAACATGTAGCTCTTTTTTATGCTGAGCTGCATCCTCCACTCTGTCCACAAGGGCTCTGATGCAGTCTTGGGTGGACCTCCTTGGCCAAAAGCCACTCTGCAGGCTGCTCAGTATATTGTGGTCAAAGGCTTTGTAGAGCCTTCTGGTGAGAATAGCCATGAAAACCTTATACTCCACTTGCAGAAGAGCAATAGGTTGGTAGTTACCAGGGTCTCCTAGGTCTCCCTCCTTAGGCAGCAAGGTGATAGCAGCTTCTTTCCACTCCTCTGGCAGCTCCCCACCTTCCAAGCAATGGTTGAACACCTGTGTGAGGCAAGAGATGTAAAAAGGTGGGAGCTCTTTAAGGATTCTGGCAGTGATCCTGTCTGTGCCTGGTGTGGTGTCCTTGAACTCTCCAATCATGTCTGCAACATCAGCTTCAGTGACAGGCTGTACCAGTTTGGCGTTGTCATTATCTTCCACCTGCACCATGAACTCTGTCCATGGTTTTGGACCCATCTTGTCTGGGACTGTAGCAAACTGTGCCCCCCACCATTTGGTGAAAACCTCTTTTACTGTGCTAGCATCAGTGCTGTACTCCCCATCTCCTACTTTGACCTCATGGAACACATGTGGCCTATGGTCTCTGCCCATGAGCTTTGTCCAGAAGGACTTTGAATCAGAGTAACCTGCCTTAATGAGTGCACTTGTGTATCTTCCTATGTCCCGCCTTTGGGCAGTGTAAAAACCAGCCCTGATGGACTTGGTGATGGCCTTTTTAATGGACATTAGCTTGTGCAACGCTGCATGAATGGACTCTTCATTGAAAATGAGTGGGATGCTCACTCCACTGGCTTCTGCCACCTTGCGCACCTTGCTGCTGATGACCAGAGCCTCTTTACAGCGCAAGGACACCAAGAGGGAGTTGGCAGCCTTGCAGACCGCCTTACGCTTCCTTTTCAACAATCCCATTTTTTTATTGTTGCCTGGTCTTCTGGGCCTACCCTGCCCTCTTTTAGCAAATGTCTGCACTGCCACACCCCTGATGGTCTCATTGAGAGCGGCAGCCATTGCTGGGCAGTCCACATGGCCTTGCTCTTGAAGTGCACTTTCCCACTCCCCTGTGCACCGCTCCTCTAGGTTCCAATGGAAGGCCACTTTGAACTCCTCCTTTTGAAGAAGAAACATGGGAAAGCTAGAACCCATGGGCCTTGCTATTGTGGAGCACCCGTTACAGGCCATGCACAACACAAGCTCCACAGGTGAGTGGTCCAACTCAATCAGGGGGTCAAGAACAGCCATGCTCACCACCAGACAAGTGGCATATTTATTAGTAAGGAAGTAGTCTATTCTAGAGGTCGTGATCCAAACAGCCTGACTGGGATCTCCCAGTGCTGGCTGAGATATCTGCCGGAAAGTGTGCTTGCTACACTCTGGGTGCAGTTGCTGATGGATGTCAGAGACCCTGCACATCTCAATAATTTCCCAAACCACCTGTCCCCTGTCACTAGCCCTTGCACAGCCACAATTGGTCCACTTCTCACCATCCGTGGGAGTGATATTCCAGTCCCCCACAAGGACCAGTGGGCACCTGCCAGGAGCCACGACAAGTGGGCCAATATGCTTGTTGATGAAGTCATCATTGTGGGTTTTCTTACCAGAGGGGCCATATATGTTGTAGACAGAGATGTTGCCTTCCAGCCTCTGGATTGTGATCTGTTGCAGCTGGTAACTATGGCTTCCATTTGGCTTGGTAACATGCTGGACCTGGACATGGTGAAGAAACTGATTGTCAATGGCAACCAGAAGCCCACCACTCGCCTTGACCCTGACACTCCACTTACACTGTGCACAGTACTGGAGCCTCTTCCTACAGTCTGACAGTTCTGGGAAGCGCCAGAAGGACTCACTGACAATCTTGTCCTCTGCAATTGACCTAGCCCTAATTTTGGACTTGAGGTTCCAGAAAACTGAGAAGCTTCTTTTTTGGCAACATCCAGGATAGCTCTGACATTATCCTCTTCCCAAAGGCCGACCTCTTGGACCAAGAGGAAGCCCCACTCCCTTTTCTTGGCGTGTGAAACAAGGTCTCCTAGCTGCTTCCAATTTTTCCAGATGTTGAAGGACACAATGGTGAGGAAAGCAGTTATGCTCAGAGAGGCAGCTTCCATGTCATCATCAGCAAGCGCTCCTGGGACTAAGAAGACTAGTAAAACCAAAAGGGTGAGGAAAACCCACTTGTGCTGCAGGGGCCAATTTGTGCACACTCCACTCACAGGGCATTTCCTGCCCTACACCTGCAGATGAAATACACTGGGGTGATAAAGTGTTTATGAGATGAAGGGAAACAGTGGCCTAGCACCTGTCTCTCTGCTACATAGTCATGGTAGGCACCACACAACAGCACTAATGAGCACAGGGCACAAAGGAGAAGAAGCACCCAACACCAACTAGGGGTCCTGACAATGGAGGGCTGCACATGCCATGCGCTCCTGGATCCTGTGCTGCATGGCTGTGGCCACCTCTCTGGCCCTGGCCTCCTGCTGCTTGATATCCCTGGCCTGCTTAGCTTGCTCAATCTTTCTGGCAGCATCTTGCACCACCTTGTTGGCCCTGAAGTTGGCAGCATTGGCTTGGGACTTTTCACGCCTGTTGTGAGTCTAGAGTGGTCACAGTGGTTAGGGACTGCCAGCAAGGGAGGAGCAGGGACAGACAGGGGTAGCACTACCTTTTTGAACTCCTCCTGGGACATCTTCCTGTGGAAGTGAACCTTGGGGCACCCAATGAAGAGTTCAACGTTGTCATGCTCAAGGATGGTGAGGAGGTCCTGCTTGCTGGCCACAGTGCCCTTGACAAATCCCTGGTAGGTGTTGTTGCAGCAGATGAACTCAATGTTGACCAGCTCTACTTCACAGAGCTTACAAATCAGCTCCTTCAGCTCTCTTGGCTTCACCTGCGGCAGGACCAGCTTGATGTTGACAATGATCAGCTTGAGGCTGAAGTCACACCACAGTTGGAAGTAGTAGTCGTTGAAGTTGATCATGGCCCCTCCCTTGTCAATTAGGGTGGAGAGGACTTCCTTCTCAACCTCCTTCTCATTGTAGGTGCACTCTGGGTGGAACTTGCCAGGACTGTTGTAGCACTGCTCAATGAGCTGGCAGGCTTGGGTTACTTGATCTGTCTCAGTGGCTGAGAGAACAACAGCCATGGTCTTGGTGAAGCCATCATGCATGACCTGGCCAACCTCGTAGCAGACATCAATGCCCTTGAGGTCGTCCAGAACATCACTCACCTGGTCAGCGTTCACCCCTTCAAAATAGATCATACAGTACTTGTCAATGGCTTGAAGGGCTAGCCCAACAAAACCAGGCTTGCTGCACTTGGCCTGGCGGCCGTCCTCCTCGACTTCCCCCTCCTCATGCTCTCACTCCTCCAGCTCCAGCTCCAGCTCCTCCTCATCCAGCTCCTTACCCTTGTCCTCCCTGCTACATTTCCTGCTCAAGGTGCTCATGTTGTTCGGCTGTAGGCGTGGGTAGCATGGTGGGGGTAGGGTCAAAAGTGAGAATGGTGATCCAGAGTGAGCAAACCTCCAGTCTTTAATAGGGGACTGTGGGGACACCACCATTACATGAACAAGCAGACCTGACCAGGAGCTCCCTGCACACAATCCAGGACAAGAGACCATACTTGGAGATGGCACAGTCAGGCAACCTGGTGTCTGGCTGACAAGTGTGAGGTTCCAAGGTGGACCTGGTCCAGGACCCATGGGGTTCTGCAGTTGGGCTACACTCAGGTGGGCAGCCTGCTCTACCACGCTATTTTGGGGGGCAAAATGCATGAAAAGCAATTCACAAGAGAGTGGACCTTTGATAGATACCATACTGTAAGATGGTTTTGTCAATGTGTGGGGCAGGCAAGGGGAAGAAGAAATCAAATCATTGCAATAGTCTCAATATGTATGTTCATCTTTCATTAAGTGGCGCCTTTTCACCTCCTGGTTACATTTAGAGAGCCACCAGGCGGGCTCTACATCATTGGGTACGATGCCAACCCTGTTGATCACATTTAGCGCTCTTGCGTCCTCTCTCCACAACATCTTTTTTCTTGTCTCCTTCTCCTTTGCTGACCATCACACAATTCTCTGACCTTTTCTCTGTTTCTTGGACAATTTTCAATGAGGAAAAAAGTAAGAAATTGCGCAGGCCAACATTAATTGGGGAAAATCAATTGAATTCATTCTTCTGATTCTCGTTCTAGTATTGCCTTGGAGGAGCGCGTTCTTGCCGTGAGGGGCAGTTGACCACCCAGCTGGTACGTGCGCCTCTCTAGTGGGTCATTCAATATTCGCTTTTTTCTTTTTTAAATCGTTCAAAATCGATTTGGTCTAGAACGGAGGACATGTCGAACGTGCGAGGGGGAGATCGAGGGCGGGGTGGAGTACGAAGAGGAGGCCGAGGAGGCGGGCGAGCCCGTGGTGGTGGCCCTCCAGCCCAATCGCGAGATTTCGATGCACGCTCCGGAGATAGAGATGAAGGCAGACCACAACACAGCCGTGGTGGCGGGAGGGGTCGCGGGGAGGCATGGGGCATCATGACGGCACACCCCGAACGCTTCGGCCGCACCAACAGCAGGGAGGGCGGCCTTACTCTGCCACCATCTTCATCATCATCCACTTCATCTGCGCAAGCACCACCGGTGGCGTCATCAACGCAGACGGCGTCAGCAGCCGAGCTCGCGCGCTTGCAGCGCCCGCGGCGCAAGCGGAGCCTCAGCGCAACCTCGATGCCGCGCGGAGGCGGACGCGGCAGCGGCGGATCGGCGGCGTCTTCGTTCTCGCGTCTGTTCGAGAACCTGGCGGGCTCGGGCAGCGGGCGACCGCGGACCGGCAGCGGCAACGAGCCGCGCTCGGCCTCGTCGGCGGCTGGTCCGCCACCGATCGTCAGCAGTGCTCTGGTCAAGCTGCAAAAGGTGCTCCACCCGCCCTTGATCCTGATTGATTACTCTTTCGTGCTCTTAGCTGAAAGAAGCACGCACGACACGCACGACACACACACCACCGCACGCGCACACAATGCAGGCGTATCTGGAGAAATACACGAAACTGTTGTGTCTTGAGATCGGCGAGGAGTTGCGAGGCGTGGAAGAAAAGTACCACTACAAACCCGCACTCTTTGTCATCATCCAAAGCACTGTACTTACCGTGCGCGTGTGGCATTTCATGTGTGTCGTGTCGTGTCGTTGGTCGTGTTGTGTCGTGTGTACCTGTGAAGGCTCACGAAGTGGTCCAAGGCAAGGCTGGAGAAGGAGGGTCAGACCATCTTCAATCTCTGCGCCCGTCCGGTGGGCCACCTCTTCCGCGAGGAGATCCTCCAGTTCGCACCCGCTGGGTCCGATTTTATGCCCTACCACCGCTTCGCGCACGGTGACATGGTATGTATGCCCTGTAGCACCCCGCGCCCGTCATTCTTCTGCATTCCTCATGCGGTCGTATGTTGTTATGTGTGCCGTGTGCGTCGTGTGCGTCGTGTGCGTCGTGTGCGTCGTGTGTGTCTTATGACAGGTACTCATGACGCGGACGGATCCGCTGAGCGAGAAGCCGATGGAGGGCGTGGTGCTGGACAAGAGCAAATCGCGGCTGCAGGTGGTCGTCAAGGACTACCCGCCCAACGTGTCTGAAGGCACCTGGGTACTCACCACTCAACACCCTCATCACCGCAACATGCAGTGCTGCCTTGGGGGGCAATCTGGGTTGTGAGCTCATCCCTGGTGGTGGTGGACACACAGCGCCTGGACAAGGGCGCCAACAGGGTGTCGCACGACCGCATGATTGACGCGCTGAACAAGTTCACCAGCAATCGCAATATTGAACTGCCCGATACCGGTAGGCCTTCCCTCGTCGTGCGTCGTGTGTGTGTCGGTGTACGCTTGGGTTGCACCATTTGTGCCGCTTCGACTGACACTCCATCATGCATTGCTTGGCAAACTCAGTGAAACCCATCCCCGGCGGCACAGTGCTGCGGGACCTGATTGTGGGAAACGTCAAGGACCCCAAGGCGTGGGCTGCCCAGCCTCCGCCCAAGGTATGAGCGCACGTCATCGCACCACCGCACAAGCACCACCGCACACGCACCACCGCACACGCTTATTGTTCGTGTCTCGCCTCAGGAATTGGCGGATCGGTACGCGCGCAAGAATTTCCCCAAGAATTTTGATGCCTGGAAGCTCAACGAGAGCCAGCGGAAGGTGATCACCACCATCCTCACTCGCAAGCTCACCCTCGTCCAAGGCCCTCCCGGCACCGGTACACTATTTTTCGCGCAACCCTCAATCTAATTGCACCATTCTTAGGCGCGTCGTGTGTCGTGTGTGTGTCGTGTATGTGTCGTGTGTGTATCGTGTCGTGTCGTGTCGTGTGTTCATAGGCAAAACGACGCTGGCTATTCACTTGATGAAGCTGCTCGTCCACCTGTGCCGCGGACATGCGCCCATTCTGTGTACGGCCGACACCAACGTCGCCGTTGACAACTTGCTCGAGGGCCTGGCCGACTCGGGCGTGCGCGCGGTGCGCGTGGGTCGGCCGGTCAAGATCCGGGAGGAACTGCGCGACCTGTCGCTCGAGGCGCTCATGCAAGAGCATGCCGCCAACAATAAGCTCGACGCCCTGCGCCAGGAGCTCGCCGGTCTGTCCCACGGCAAGACCCCCGAGGAACGGTACCGTACCTATGTTGTGTGTCGTGTCGTGTGTGTCGTGTGTCGTGTGCGTTGCGTAGTGCACGAACTCAAGTTTTTCTGTTGTCTCTTTGGTTCAGGGCGGCGGCAAAGCGTGAGGGTGTGACGCTGCACCAGAACATCCGACGACTCGAAGACTATATTCACAACGACGTGCTCGGTACCAAGTCTTCCATGACCCATTCGTTGTGCCTGCGAGCTGATGATGGTTGGTGACTGACGGCGCAACACGATCTGTATTCAGGCAAGGCCGATGTGATCTGTGCCACGTGCATCGGGGCTGGTCACGACCTCCTCGCTTCACGTGCCTTCCCTATCGTCATTCTTGATGGTGCGCTAACCCACCACCACCACCACCACCACCACCACCACCACCACCACCACCACCACCACCACCACCACCACCAACACACACACTTTACGTGTGAGCGGTCGCAATACTCACCAACTAAACGTTTGGTTGATGGCAGAATCGACGCAAGCCACCGAACCGGCCTCGCTGTGTGCGCTGGTGCACAACTCGCAGCACGTCGTGCTTTTGGGCGACCACTACCAGCTCCCGCCCACAGTCACTTCGCCCGAAGCGCAGCAGGGTTAGCTACCCTCTTTCCACACTCCATCGCCACAGTGCTCACGACACACACGACACACACGACACACACGACACACACGACACACACGGCACACACGGCACACACGACACACACGCACACCGCACATGATACATGACGCACGATGCAGGCGGTCTGTCGGAGAGCTTGTTTGCGCGTATGATCGCGATGGGTATCGAGCCCTACATGCTGGAGATCCAATACCGGATGCATCCCATCATCTCCGAGTTCCCAAGCGTCCACTTCTACGGCGGCAAGATCAAGGACGGCATCGTAGCCGCCCAGCGCCCGTCGCCCACCGGCATCGCGTGGCCCAGCGAAGGCAACCCCATCGCCTTCGTCAATGTCGACGGCTACGAGAAACAAAGGTATGCGTGTGTGTCGTGTCGTGTCGTGTCGTGTCGTTGGTCGTGTCGTGTCGTGTCGTGTCGTGTCGTGTGTCTATACTGAATTGCTATGTGCATTTTAGTACGGACGGCTATTCGTGGTTCAACTCGGCAGAGGGCGAGGCCGTGTTCCAGCTGGTGTCGGCGTTCGACCAGCGGTCGGACGTCGGCGACGTGAAGGACATCGGAGTCATCACGCCCTACAACGGCCAAGTCAAGCACCTCGCCGACCTCTTCTCCAGGCGCGGTGGTACCAATGCACACACGCATCACTGATTACCGCACACGCACACGGCCGCACACGCTGACGTCATCATCTTTGCCGCAGGGATGAACAAAAATGAAAAGTGGCACAAGCTCAACATCAACTCGGTGGACGGCTACCAGGGCCGTGAGAAGGAGGTCATCATCTTCACCGCCGTGCGCAGCAACTCCCGCGGCGACGTCGGCTTCCTGCGCGACTGGCGCCGGTACTGACTCGCAGTTGACTTGGCAGTGTCTTTGACCGTCGTTGACTGCTGTCTGACCCGCGTTGACCACCTTTTTCTTTTGCTCCTTCGTCAGGCTTAATGTGGCGCTAACGCGGGCCAGGCGCGGGCTGCTCGTCGTGGGCAACCGACGTACGCTGCAGTCCGACGAGCACTGGGGCAAGTGGCTCAGATGGATCGACACCCACCGGCTCGGCACCAACCTGCAGGCCATCCTGGGCCGCGGCCACCACCCGCCCGCCCCGGCCGGCGGCCGCTCCGGCTCTGGCGATGCCACGCCATCACATGTCAGCACCGAGGCCGAGGCCGAGGTCGGTGGTGATGGTGACGATGGCGGCGCCGGTGCTGATGACGATG